CCCCCCTGGAGGCATTTCCAATGGTGCTTGTTGCGAGATACTGACCGGATGGCTTCCTTTACTGGCGAAAGTATTGAAAAGCAACGTTGCTTTTCAAACATGCAGAAGGATGACATGCTCACTCAGCTTCGACAAATGTCCCTGTTACGTTCACGTCACCCTTATCAGAGAAAAATTGCAGCAAGTATTTAATTCCAAGACGTGGAGTGCAGGATCCAGGGTCGCTATTTGATCTCGACAGGGCTATGATCAGGAGCATGTCAGCATCTGCACTTGCTCTCGGTAAAGCGAACTTCCTGAAAGCTTGAATATTTTAGCTCTTTCAACGACAGCGAACTTTGCTACGAATTGACACGATCCCTGCTTCATCCAGCCTTGGTGATCATTAAAAGATTAGCTTCTATTTGAGTGGAAACCTTCAATGGGGTATCGAACTGCTCGTCAATGGTGACACGATCAGTGAACATACTGCACGATTCGCTCCAAACGGGAAGTATGCTGCACTCGGCGTGATAGACTTTGTCGTTATCGATTTCCGTGGTAACAAACATGGACAACCTTGCATGCCGGGAAAGATCTCTGTTTTCTTTAAGCGATTGAATGAGCAGCTCATAATGTTCACTTCTGACAGCTTTGGAGATGTTTCCTTCCCAAGGCAAGTTGTAGAATATTGCACACGAGTTACAAGTTACGTTACAAGTTATTTGATACAACCCAAATTTTGCGAGAGAAAAGAAGTATACTCAGGCCGATCATGCGTCCCTAGTTGATGTCCAAATGAAGTATTCCATCTAACTCTTACACGGAGTTCTTGCGCTGGAAGCTAGTGTCGGGGTCCGACCGCTCACCACTCAGGCTTTCATCCTCGGTCAGGGCCACTTGCACCGAATTAAGCGGAGCAGCTTGTGGCGGTACAACATCCGTCGTGTTGAGCGGCACAGCGCCGTCGTTAGCGTCGCTCGAGACGTCGATGCCGTAAAAGTCGTAGATGGTCTTGACCGTGACCTCCGTGTCCTTGTTGTTAATGTCCTTGTGGTACGCCTCCAGTGCGAGCCAGAAGAGCGGCACAATGTACAGCGCAGAGAACACGTCAAGCGTGTAGTGCTTACGCGAGGCCACAATGAGGAACGCGATGGTAATCTGCACGAGAACCATGATGCTGATTCCGTACTTGTTAGGCCAGTACTTCCACACCGTCAAGATGAACGACACCGTGTAGATCGTGTGGGAGCTGAACATCAAGTCTCCACAGCCATTAAGCGAGTCCAGACGCGTGAACAACTCGCCAATACTGGGCGGGTTGAACTCGGGGTTGGGGACGACGCAGGGCACCGGGTCGTCCGGGTTGGCTGCCAAGCACGTGTCGTTAAACTTGAGTTCGCAGTGGTCAGCAGGGCCCGGCAGAGCCGTCACGAGGAAGGAAATGCAGCGGAAAACCAGACAGATACTGAGCTGCAATAGACAGCGCTTGAGTGTGATCACAAGGTACCGCGGACGGCCGGGCTCCTGTCGGAAGAGCGGGATCGTCAGCACCAGGGCGATGGCTGGAGCGAAGATCGTGGCGAACACGAGGATGTCCGAGAGGTCTGAGGCCCAGCCCGTCAACTCTCCCATGAGCTCGTAGCCCAAATCGTGGAGCGTGAAGCGCTGCTCCGTTGAGAGGTAGTGGGCCTGGATGTAGTACGCCAGGTTGTGGAAGATAGCGTGGGCGTACTGCATGAACACACACGGAAGGATGATCTTCCACTCCTTAGCCAGAAGCTGTAGCTCGATCTTCACATAGTTGATGAAGTTCTCCTTGTCACGGAGCTGCCAGCGCCTCCCCATTGTCGATGGTTCTTAATAAAGTGATTGAGTGGTAGCAAACACGCTTGTATTCGCTGGGATCAAACGGAACTGTACATCATTACAAGAAGGTGAGCATTTTTACAGCTGCAAAGGCATCTTTGGTAGCCATTTTTGGGTCATGGACGTACTTCGGAGCTGTGCGCTGCGTGCTGCCGAGCTGGTTATCGAGTGGCGCGACTTCCCTCCTCTTCCGTGTGTGTGGAACGGCGCTGAACCTGCGCTCTTGGCCTGCTGTTTGGTTGTGACATCGAAAACGGGCCCAAAATGCCCATTGTGCCTAATTATACCAACCTCTGAAACCTCTTATTTTTAATGCCCGATCTACGTGTAAGACAATAACAGCAACTTTCGTCGGTCATAAGACTTTTTTATTTCCTTTGTTAAATTGTTTACCTTTCTAAACGATTCCCATTGTGAAATGCCACGTTGCACGGGGATTACGCACTTTGACGATCATTTGGAGAGATGTTGTCGCAGATCAAGGCTTGGAATACGTCGCTTTGACTGTCACAGTGTGAAAACAGTGCAAGAAACAACGAGGTGTGACTCACACCTCGTTGTTTCTTCATCGCTTCACTTTGCTCGATGCGATGCATGGAGATAACCTGCGCCTGCTTGTTATCTCGGTGACGCCATGTCGCTGGTTGAAGGTTGCTTCGACAGCTTGTCAAAATGTCCTATTCTCCGGAGCAATGCTCCTAATGATAGAGCTGTCGGTTTCCACACTTGAGCACTTCCACCTGGATTTTCCTCCTTCGCAGCGTTAGACTCGTACGATCATGAAGCGACTGGGAGGTTCTTCATCGGATGATGCTGGCGAGCAAGAGCGAGGCGCGCATCTTCAACTCGCGCAGCGCCACCGCAAGATCGTCGCTGGCAGCTTCAAGGGCCGCAAAGCTCTGGAGCCGGAATTTGCCACACCTGGCGTCGTCGGTAAGCTCACGTTGAGCTTTACGACTTCGACGTCATTGGCAAAACACGCACGAATCACCTGCCAATTACCGGACCACGGGTGGACGTTGCCGACTGCTCCACCGACTGCCGTGCTCCACCTACCGTCTCCGAATGAACCTGCAACAACAACAGCGCTGCCGCAGGTCAAGATGACGTGGAGTTCGACCACGCGGACGATGGAATTCACGCTATTGAACGAGAATGTGATACCTGCCGATACTCCGTTGATACTGGTAGTTTCCGGGGTTGGAACGCCCGAGAAGGCGACGCCACAGGGCGAAGCTATCGTCACGACATTCGAGAAATTGGCGGTGAGAAGCACCGTACCGACATCCACGCGCGGAGGGCAAATTATTGACGGCCCTGCTGTATTTACTTTACCGAAGATCGTGCCTGGATCCATTAGTGGAAAAAAGCGCTGGAGGCCGTTTAATTGCCGCCCTGGAGCAGTGTCGGATGTGACGCTGGCGTTTATAGTTAATGGAAAAGTTCCTTCTGGAGGAAAAATGTTGGTAGAGTTGCCGTCCGATGGATGGGATATGGATGAACAGCCGAGAGTTCTGCTCCGCACACCAGTGCATCATAATAAACCTCTTACATCTTCATGGGACTGCAACCAGCACACACTGGAGATTTACTTGGGTGCTGATGGGACGTCAATCGACACGAAGATGAGCGTGATACTCACAATTGAAAACGTGAAGAATCCAAAGAAAGAGACAATGTTCTTGGCTGCGTCCAGTGACGCAGCAACTACAGCAGCCCGTCTTACCACTTTATCGGCAAGTGGAGGTGTGATCGACGGTCCCACTAGGGTGGAAGTAGCGCGCATCAGTGAACTTAGAGAACGGGACTTTGAGGTGCTTACAAAAGTCCTTGATGCCGATGCAGCAGACAATCCTTCGACTGGAGATGGTATCCCCATTGATAGAATCCCAGAACTATTACGACGAGCTGGATTAACACTCTCTGACGAGCTGTATCAGAAGCTTGTAATACCGTGCTTTCCGGTGCGCGATGCTGTTCCAGTCTCCGATCCAGAAGTTGATAATACAGAACCTGCCAATACACCGCGCAGTGACAAGTTATCTCGAGAAGAACTATTAAATGTGTTCGCTGTTGTGTACGCACCTGCGTACAAATATGGGCAGGAACTGCGTTTGGCTTGTGGACGAGGTCATCTCGAGCTCGTTCGAGAATGGATAAGTCGGGGTTGTAACCCGAACGCTGGTGACGCCACAGGTTGGTCTGCGTTACACTACGCAGCCGACTACGGCCAGCTTGATGTACTTAATCTTCTGGTCGAGATGACCACATGTCAACAGGAGTACGACAGTAATAGCGAGAGTAAATCCATGACGCTGGAGATTAACGCCCGGGACGGCCATGGCTGGACGCCTCTGATGTGTGCAGCGGCCAATGGCCACATCGACATCATTCAGAAGCTACTAGCGCTTGGTGCGAGCATCTTGTTGACCAGTACAGAACACCGATCCGCCTTGCATTGGGCAGCTATTCGCGGCATGGCTACAGCGGCATCGCTCCTCCTTGCAGCCGGAGCAGACGTGAACCAAGTCGATCGCTGCGGCTGGACGCCCCTGCACTGTGCGACGCTGCACGGCAACACCAACTGCGCAACTATCCTCACCGATAAAGGTGCCAAGCCAGCGGCGAAGGACAAACTGGACTACGCGGCCCAGTACTACGGCGATGCCGCCTTCTTCCCATCCAAACCACTTCAACTTGTATAAGCTCTTTGACATGCATAATCTGATTGGTTAAATTTCTAAACCAATGTCTGATTCGTCAAAATGATTGCGCAAACGCATTTGAGTTTTCGACCAATAGGATCTAGTTTGAAGTGCACAAGCAGATCTGCCACAAGAATACGCAGATCGAGGAGCTCCGTTGCCGGCCAAGTTGCCCATTCCCCAAGTGTCTGCGCATTAACGACAAATAGTAGAACTATGCCCACGTCCGCAGCAGCCAAGGTATTGGCCGAGGTGTATCGCCTGCACCACATCCCGCTGCCGCCCATCACGCTGCAGGCGCTACTGAAGCGCGGCCCGCACGCCAGCCAAGCTGTCGCTGCGTCACTCCAGAACGATCCACAGGCGCTCTCCAAGTGGCGCGAGGTGAATGCACCCGCCATCGTTACGTCCGCGCAGTTGCTGCACCGCGAAGTTCCCATCCGTATCGCGCGTCGTATTGTGGACCTCGAGAACCTGCCGGACGAGCTGCCACAGGCCGCGCCCATCGTGTCACTGCGCGAGCAGCTACTAGACAGCTTCGACCGCCTCATGAGCTGCCCGCTACCCGCCAACCTCGCGAGCGAGCGTGATTTTATGGATCTGCACCGCAAGATCCGCAAGCAACACGCCACTATGCACGGCAACATCGCCGAGGCCGTACAGGCGCTCGAATACGAGCCCCAGGGCCTCAGCGAATCGCTGGACAACTTCTACAACTCGCGTATCGGCATTCGCATGCTTGTGGACCAGCACGTTGCAGCCCAGACTCCTAAGTCTGGCTTCTCAGGCATTGTTAACGACGAGACCTCTCCCGTTAAGATCGCACGGGACATTGTGCAACAGGTGCGCCCGTTGTGGCAGGAGAGTCTCAGTGGCGAGCAGCTGCCCGAGATCATTGTCAGCGGCGATGAAGACGCCACGTACCGCTATGTACCGCAGCACATTGAGATCATCTTAACTGAGGTGTTCAAGAACGCTGTGCTCAACAGCGTTGCGGCCGCAAAGAGGACTGGAGCCTCGTCGCCTCCGCCTGTCAATGTGTTGATCTCTGGTGGACAGCATGGCGTGTGTGTCAAAGTGTCGGATCTGGGCGGTGGCATGACCCGTAAGGAAGCCAACGAGCTGTCCAACTACTACCACACGGCCACGTCCCCACCCTCGAGCGGATACGATCCCGTAGCGGACGTGCTGGAGAGACGTGCCAGTGGATTGGACTTCTCGGATTCGTTCGGATTGCGTATCGCGCAGCTCTACGCCAAGTACTTTGGCGGCGAGCTGGCTATTATGCCTATGGAGGGACACGGCGTGGACACGTATATTTACATGAACTGCCTCACTGGCGCATCAGAGCTCAAGTAGGTTAAGCCAAGTGCAGCGACTGAAAGATTCACACAGTTTACAGTTAGCAAAAAGCTTGCAGCAGGATGAAGAAAAATGCAGTGTGTACGACGTGCTAGCAATGATAAAAAAAACTGGAATACTTTCTGGGCTTATTTAGTTTAGCCGTTTTTTTTTTTAATGTCCAAGAAATCGCTCGGTAGAATGCAAAGCCTTCCGTTCCGACTGCTGGTCGTGAACGAATTAAATCTTCAAAGCGACCGACATAATTGGCAGCTACCCGGCGTTGTTGCGGAGTCCGAATGCGGCCCCCTATGGAAATCCAAGCCGTAAGCGTCGTGAACACTATCTCTCATGGTTGTTTTTATGAATATCTCACTACTTGTAGTTGACATCGTAGAAGCAATTCATACCCGCAAGAGTTGGGGCTCCTTCTACTATCTCCTCAGCTAGTAACGGTCAACTTTTTATGCTTGAAAGTAGAGCTCGCTCGAGCTCCAGCACAGAGTAAGTAGAACCTATCGAATTTTAAGTGATCGCGGGTCGACTTATGTTTGTTGCTTGGTAGTTGTCGTTTTTGCGGCTTTACCACCCCGACGAGGAGCTGTAAACACACTGAATCCTCTCGACCCTGTATCCCGCTATCTTAATGCTGACTGGAAGCAATGTGGGTAGGTTGGCGTTGAATCCGCTGTACAGCGCAAAGATATTCGTACTAATTGAATGCTTGTTACATTATAGCGAACCTTTGATATGGGAGGCGCGCTCATTAGAAAGGTTAGATTTGTCTCGTGATCTCGACTCTAGGATTGTTTATCTGGATGTACCAGATTGCTCTTTTATCAAACTCGTTGTCTACGCACCGTTTAAGAGCAACCTCACTCAACAGGTACTCAGCGCGTTTGGTACCAAGACCAGTAAAAACTCTCGCTGACAACTTTATACCCTGTGCAGGTTGTGCTGGAAGATGTTGAATTGCTAGGGTCAACAAAAGATTCGTCAGTTGCTCAGGAACTGCACGCCGTCAAGCATGACAATGATCAAATCAACTACGGGTTTAGTGTCATTAATCGACCCATGCTACTGCCTCCCGCTAATGACTACGACGAGTTGCAAGCAGTATTACTGGATGCTGGAGTGCCGATGGACTTGGTAGTACAGATATCCAACATGTCTAGAGATGACGAAATACTACTACAACCAACTGGCGAGGTTATCCCAGAATTGAGATCTCCAAGCAATACATCCCGTGCAATTTCTGGTAACGGTACAGTGATATCGGAAGAACGGGACAGCCGAACCAATGACGAGAAGGACGTAACCTCACCGTTCGAGAGCGCCCTGCGGCAGTATTTGGAGCAATCCGCTCGAGAACGATCGATGCTCGAGAAAATTTTCGCCACAAACATATCAACATCCACAGTTGATGTATCTTCGTGGCAACCTCCAACAAATTCACCAACTGACCCTGCTAACAGCAACGAGATCACACTATATACTTTCGGAACGTTCTTCACGCAATGTTTATTCTGCGGTGGACCAGATATCCAAGTGACCTGCATACAGATGGCTGAACGTACTGCTCCTCTGGTGAAAAAAGTTATTGGCGCAACCTGTGCGTTTGAAGGTATCGTTGCACTCATCGTAGTTGGTATTCGAGAGGCAAAGACATCCCAAGTCTTCCAGACAGCAATTCATCTAGCATACACCGTTTTCCTGACTGAGACGGCGAGTACGAAAAAAATGTCAGAACACGGGGAAGATGAACATTGTGGAGGGGTGTCAGCATTAAACCTTATTGAGGAAGTTGCCTGTCCAAATTGGAGCTACGGGTTACGCGTCATTCTGGAGTGGGCTCTTGTAAGTTCGTTTTGCTGGTCCATCGGGAAACCTACATTATTAAAGATGAATCGCAATTTTGAAAGGATGGGACGATTGTCTAAAACACCTCAGTCGGTCGATCGGGGTTTCCTGCAGTTTATCCGCTTAATGGTCGATCAAGATTTGACCCGTACGGTTTTCTTTGATGAGCTTGTTGATTCTACTCCAACCAGCAACACTACAGGGCTCAATTTTGCGCGAAATCGCTTACGATTGTTGCGTCTGATAACGCGGAACGACCTTATCCGTTGTCAAGTACCCGCAAATACGAAAGAAAGTATTCATACTCTTTGCAGCACAGTTTTGTGTTTACATTCTCAGCAAAGTGACGAAATGACGTTGAAACGTGATGACAATGACATTATGATACGTCTGGCATCGGAGTGTCTAGCGACACTTGATCGACCTGCTTCGAGTGGCAGGCAACTAGAAGGCTCAAACAACACAGATCGTCATCATTCAAACCATTATTCCCATACTGCCTTATTCGTTCAAGATGCTCTTCTAAATGCCGAGATGACAGCATTTACTTCGCAGTTGCAACGATATTTTTCGTTTCAACCTCGCCCAACCGGCCTGTATCGGCATTCTTTCGTTCGCGCGAATGCAAAAGCTTCCAAGGATGGCCTACCGGATACATGTGAATCATTTCAAAAGGGTAACATTGCTTTCCAAGGCCAGGTTGGCGCCCGAATACCCCCAACAACAACCTTTCACGACGAAATCCAGAGAAAAACGGCTCCATTCGTGTTTGATATTGGTGCCAAGAAGTCGACGGCTGGGATGTCATCTCTCCCTGTAGGTAAACAAGATGTTGTGTCAAGCTTCGCTTCTTTCAAAGGCACAATTGAGCGGCGCAGTGATCCTCCAAAACGATATAATAAGGTATCCCCTGAGCAAGACATGCAAACTCCGTCATCCGCAAAAGCTTCAATAACTACGACAAGCAAACCACACATCACAACGGTTGACAACAATACGGTAAAGGTTTTACTGAGTAGGTTATCTGGTTTACAGGGCCCAACCGAAGAATCGTCATCAATTCCAGATATTATGACGGTAAATCGAGCACCTACTACATTAAATTGTACGCCTACCGCAACAATGGGACCTCGTGCTGCAACTCCAACGGCGGCCAACCCTCCAGTATCAATCCCCGGTAACTCTGCACTTAACCGTAAACAACCGGAAGACATTAAGCAATTGGTCAACACAAGAAGTACTGACCAGCCTGAGCGTCGCACTGGAGGCGTCAACGGAAAGAGCAAAGAGAAGGTGAAAAGCAATAGCAAACACGATGGCAAAGATCCAGATCATTGCGTTGTTCAATAACACGATTATCACGCTGGCTTCGAATCTGCTGCTCGATATTCAGGAGCTCGAATCACCTTTTTGCAGATAATGGAGATCATATCGCCGCTGGTGTTCGCCGAGGAGCAATATCGAAATTTGCACAACGACAATTGTTACTTCTCTGGAACATATTTCTACGGCAAAAACCCTTTTCAAGGCTAGCACCAAAACTACTCGTGGCTCTCGGTGTCTAAATAAAGCGCACGCGGCCTTCACCCCATATTTTATATACGTGGTTAACGGAGGCGGGTAGCTGATAATACAGCGAGTCTGACACGAGTTTCAGGCGGTAGTCGCCTTTGACGCCGTAATTCACTCAATTTTAGGAATTGGAGGTAAAAAAAAGGTATGTACCTCTTCCCCTAAGTATTGACAGTGCGCTCGACTCAGTTTTAGTGCTAACAGAAGGCGTTTTAAAACACTAGAATGGCCCGCTTTAGAAGCAGGTTTTTGGCGCTGTTACACTGAAACCTCACACAAAGCCGTTAAATAGTGCTAATTTTTCTTCCAATAATGTTAGAGATGATTCAAAGCCTAAGATTTAGTAATGATTACGATACAATTTAGGCTACGCGGAAACAAGTCGCGAAGAGCCGTAATCTACGGCAGCTTCTTCAATCGGCTGCGATCCGTGAATGTGAGCTCTGCTGACCCGTGGTATTTCAGCCGCTTACGTGTGCAAATAATAGTTTGCATTAACTTTGGAAGCGTTAGAAAGCACTTGTCAATTATTGCAGGTGTAAGCTGATCAAACGATCTCTCCACTGCAAAAATTAGGTCGTCTAGATTGGTAGACTTTCGTTTCAGCTATAATGGCCGCAACGAGTGAAAAATACCAAGATCTAAAGCATTTAGATCTGGTGAGCGAGATGTCATCTCAACATTCCAGCCACTTTCATCTCAACATTCCAGCCACTTTTCTCTCCAGCGGCGAGGCCTTTGTACATATTGAACCATTTCTCGTCAATGTGCACGACATCGTACATGTGGTCCATCTTGAAGGCACCTAATAATAACAGTAAGTAAATAATATTGAAATATTCACATTTGTATTAAAAGGTGTATGTACCTAGTTGTCATTGTACGTGCATGAGGCAGTACTGCAGCCGGCGTTGCTTGTGTTCCTCTGTCTTTCTCTCCAGCGGCCACAATATCATGGTCAAAAACAGATACGTGGGGGGCCCGCATTGTCCGGCTGGACGTACACCACATTACTTTTCCTTCCTGTAGCAGCAAAAAGCAATTACTGTCAAAACGTGTTTTTCAGAAAAACCAAACACAGAACTTACCTGGCCATTTTTTTTCGGATAGCAGGAAAACCCTTCTCTTTCAGCACTTTCTTGTAGATTTTCCGCGTCATGTTCACAGTTTAGTCACGAGCGTCCCTTTCACTCTATTTTAGACGTTCGCTCCGCCGGTACACGTTCAATAATCGGACAAATACCAATTTTGCCGTCAAAATATTTGTTGCCTTCCCGCTAAAACGCGGTCT